GGGGGGGGGGGGTTTTCTGGACCTGTGATGAAAGCCAGTTGACAAAATCGCCATTGCCTCGGTGTCTTCCTCTCCCCTTCTCCCAACATACACGCGCACACATATACATCATACACATATACACATACATACGTGCACATGAGGGTATCCACATGCATGAACACCGGGATTCAAGCAGCCCGGGCGAGGGTGGCCATTGGCCAGGCTGCCCGGATCTCATCCACCTTGGCAACCTCCACGGCATCAGTCGCCTCGGATTCCTCGCCCACCCGCAGCCAGTGTGCTGCAGACCCCCAATGGCCCGTGATTGAGAGCGCACGCTCTCAGCCGGTGCATCTGATGGATGGGCAAAATCGCCGCGGTGCGCTTCTTCGGGCCGGGAAAATGATGCTGCCTGTGTGGGGGGGCCTCCTCTCTTACCCCATTGCTTGCCTCCTTCTCCCCCCCCCCCCCTCTTGAACCCACCACCCGCCGACTTTCCTTTGTGTTGGGGCAAACGCACATGGGCTCCTGTGCCCATGTGTGCGCCTGTCCACCTGGGGCCCATGCTGTCGGGCACAACCGTGAACACATCCACCCACAGTCATCCTCGGAGTGTCGGGCGGTGTTGATTCGGCCGTCTCGGCTCTCATTCTCAAGGAGAGAGTGCGTTTGTCTGCGGTCCCTGGACCTTCTTTTTGTCTCCTCGGTCACAGCATGCTCATCCATCTGACGCGGCCAATCCTGATGACATTTTCATGCACAGGGCTTCCAAGTGGAGGCGGCATTCATGCGAAACTGGGACAGCTCCACCGAAGCTGATACCCAAGGGCCCTGCCCGCTGGACAAGGACCGCGAGGATGCACGCGAAGTTTGTCGGCTGTTGGATATTCCCTTCCATGAGGTGCGCTCATCGCTGTCTGGCTGGGGCTTTGGCCCACGCCTCGGCCTCGACATCAGTGGCCTCTGCGATACTTGACAAACGGATGCACCGCATATGTGTCCCTCTTCCCCCATCACCCGACCACCCTCTAACGCACCTCTTCCTTGCTCCTGAAGGTCGACTTTGTGAAGGAGTATTGGCTGGATGTCTTTCAGCAGTTCCTGGACGGCTATGCGGCAGGCATCACGCCGAATCCGGACATTCTGTGCAACCGGTCAGTCAAGTTCGGCTCCTTTGCCGACTGGGTATCGCAACACTTCGATGGGGCCATGATTGCAACAGGTGCGTTATCCAGCGTCTTGCATCTTCTCCATCTCCCTCTCTCTCTTGCTTTCCCCGCCTTGACTTTCGTGCATATGTGCACCTCGTTGCATGTATTCTGACCGCCCTCCGCCTCTCTCTCTCTCCCCCCCCCCCCATCCCGCCCTTTCAGGCCACTATGCCCAGGTGGCCACAAGTCCCCTTGCCCCGGGTAGCCATTTTTTGGAAAGAGGTGCGCCTTGACCGAGCATTTGTCGACCTCCGCAGGGGGGGGGGGGGGACCATCTCACCAGTGCATTCCTGACATGCACGTCCCTCTTTCCTCCCATCTAGCTGTCGATCGCCACAAAGACCAGACCTACTTCCTGTCGGCCATCCAGCCGGGCATCCTGGCTCGGACGCTCTTCCCGGTGGGTGGTTTCCACAAGGCCGAAGTCCGTCGTCTGGCTGCGCTCGCGCATGTCGGCGACTACACCGGGCTGCGAGCCGCCCTGGGCCAAGTCACCGCCAGCACCAATGCCGAATATGCTCCAACCGGCCGGAATACCTTCGACCCGAGTGCCTCGCACCCAGGATACTTCGGCCCGGGGGCTCACTCGCCCGTGACTGGGAGCCCTGCCTTGCCGGAATCGGTGCTCAACCGCCACGAATCCATGGGGATATGCTTCATTGGAAAGCGGGATTTTGCTCCCTTCCTGGGTGCGCAACATGTTGGCCTTTTCCCGATTGCCCCCTCACCATTGCCCGGTGATCTCCATCGGCAGGCCACACCCTGACAAGAGCCCAATCCCTTTTTGCCCCGCCCCCCGTTTGGGACACTCTCCCGCCCCCCTGCCCGCCCCCCCCCCCCCCCCCCCCCCCCCCCCCCCCCCCCCCCCCCCCCCCCCCCCCCCCCCCTCCCCCTCCCCCTCATAGAGCAATATCTCGAGCTGAAGCCAGGTCCCTTCTTGGACCTTGAAACCGGCCTGCCATTGCCCGGCAAACCTCAACATACGGGTGCCGCTGCGTACACGGTTGGCCAATCTGCACGCATTGGTGGCCAACAGAAAAAGTGCGTGTTATGGTGGCAAGAGCCGGGGGCTGGCGCATTGTCTGAGCCACATCGACATGAGGATGCAATTTGACTGACACACCTTATCCCCTCCTCCTGATGCGGGGAACCGCCGCTCGCTCTCCCGCGCGTGGCTCTCGGATACAGGTGGTTCGTCGCACGCAAGGACACCCGGACCAACAGCGTGTACTTGGTGCCCGGGCATGACCACCCGCGCTTGCTGGCCTCATATGTGGAGGTTGATCGGCCCTCGGTGGCAGCCACGCCAGCCACCATCCTGGATGGGCCCCTCCATTGGCTGACTGAGAGACACCATGTTCCGGGGCTGGGTGCCATAGGTGCGCGTTGCAATGGACTCTCTTCGCCGTGAACCGCCGAGGGTGGAGGCGACCGAGACATCCCTGTCCTCAGAGGGAATGGGCAGGCTTTTGGCCACTGACTTCCTGCTCGGGCGTCCTCCTCCATCCATGCCCTCACCCTGATGCCCGGCTTTTGGGGACAACCACAGGCCCCCCCTGCCACGTATATGCCCAGTATCGCCATGCGATTGGGGCCCAGGTTCCGGCCGCACTTGGCCTTTCCGGATCGGAGTCTCCGGCTCGAGTGGAGTTCAGCCAGCCGGTGTTTGCGCCGGCTCCGGGGCAGCAGCTGGCGGTCTATTGTCCGGCAAATCGCATTTGCCTTGCCAGCAGTGTCATCGCTCGATTTGGCCAGACAGACTGAGAAGAGCCTGTGTCCTGGAAATGAAGGGCACATACTTGATGCATGTGCGCGTACGGGCGTTCATGTGCATGTTGACAAAAAAACGCGTGTGCAAAAGAGAAAGACCTGTTTCTGATTTATATGATTCATCGATGCCCCCGCAAGCCGAGGGCAGAGACTTTGTGTTTTGGGAGGGAACAATGTCCCGGTGGGGAAGAGGAGGGGAGGAAGAATGAGCCGCATTGGGCACAGAAGAGCAAGGGAGAGAGAGAGGGGGGGGGGAGAGGAGAGCTGAGGGGTATGTGCCGATTGGGTGCCGGCACACAGAAGAAGAGGAACGAGAAGGAGCGCGGATACTGCCGGTCAAAGGGGGGCGTCAGCTCACCGCTCATAGTTCGGAGACTGGAGGAAGTCACCGAGCAGGCGGGACCCGGTCTGGAGGATGGGATGGCCGGCGACAATGTCGAGGAAGCGCTGCAGAGCCTCCTGACGCTCAGAAATCACCTCTTCGCTGAGGTTGTTGAGGAAGCGCTTCGGCGGCAGGGAGGGGAGCGGCACGCGAGGCTGCTGCTTCAGGAGGTCCGAACGGAACTGCACGAAATCCGAGTACCGCTGTGCAAGGGGATTGGGGGGAGGGGGACAATGGGCGGAGAGTTAGGCCATGCTTGAGGGCAGAATACGGGGAAGCAAGTGTCCGAACCGGGAGGCCGGAAGCCGGCGACAGAACAGGAGAAGCCCGGCCGCAGGATAGGCGACAGACAAAGCGGGGGGGGGGGGGGGGGGATGCCCCCATTGACATTGAGCGACGTACCCGGCGAACAGAGCTCTGCTTCTTGGGGAAGGTGGGAATGTTGGTGCGAACAATGATCTCGTAGGTGACGTGGTTGGCCTTGCCGGCGGAGTCCGGCACGACCAGCGGGCGAGTCACCTCGATCTCGAGGAAGTTCTCCGGCATGGCGTACGAGGAGTCGTCCGCGCTCATGGCCGCGTACGGCAGGCGAGAAGACTCGGCCCAGGCGCGGGAGTTGCTCGGCTGGCTGGGAGAAGTGGACATGGTGCGAGCGGGGGGAGGGGCGGGGGGGGGGGGGGGGGGCGGACAATCGGGGGGGGGGGGGGGGGGGGGTGAGTTGGTGGGTGGGTG